TTCTCCGATATTGATTTGATTTATAAAGGCTTGTGACTGTTTCAAATTTAACAGAATTCCCAATCAATTCTAAAATCTTGTATATTAAAGATTAATATTTCAATAGAGATTAGTGTAATACATTTTTTTTTAAATATTTGGGTTGCACAAACTATCAATTTTGATTAAACAAAATCAGTGTCTTCTATATTTACTTTTGGCGATTTAGCTATAGTTTGTCTAAATGACGAACTTCCCTAGCCATTTGTCTGGACCCGTGGCGGTATAACTATGGCAACGAGGTTAGTGGGTTAAGTAAAAACTACTTCTAAAATACAGAACGATATAGGTTTCAAAATATTTGAGATGAATGAAATTACGATTTAATTTTTAAAAGATACTTATGTTAGTTCTTACGTTAGGGGTAGCTCTTACCATAGACAAACTATAGGTTTACCAGTCCGATTCCTTAGACCAGGGAAATAAAATTTAGTTAGGCCGTTAATTAGTTTGCATGTAGTTAAGCAAATGTTTCAACCTTTAGCCAGTGCGATAAGGCAAATGAAATTTTTTTCTTCTCGAATTTAAAGTAAATCAATATTCAACTATTATGAAATAATTTCTCCCTTGAAATGTGATTATTTTGTCTGCAAATTTTGCTCATAATTCTTGGAGAATAATGGTGACTAACTGGCTTGCAGGGAAATTTTAACCGTAATAACTTTCTTCAAAACCTATGAAAATTAAAGGATGGAAAATTTCGTTTAATCGAAAATTTAGTTTCGAAACTTTCAGATTAAAAATTTCGTTTTATGGAGTTTATCGAATTTTTAGCGATTATTGCTATTGATTTCTCTAGCTTTTAAATCGGATATTTTTTTATACGATATAATTAACCACTACCTAATTTCTAAACTAAACACGCATTTGAGGAGTCTGATTCTCGTGATTTCGTTGTCTATCTTTTTTCGGCTATCACTACTACGGATTTCACAATTTTTAATAATTTTCTTTATTGTGATAATTATTTACAATATGCGAAGAAGGAAGTAATTTCTGCTCCCCCAACAACATGCGAAAATCTCACCCATAATAAATAAATATATATATTTTTACACGTCCAACTTAAAATATATATATATATTGTAAACAAAGCGCTTTTGTTGTTTTAAATGAGTAACATATATGTTTAAAAGTATCTTGCAGTAAGATATTAGTGCTAGAGTTCTGTCGCAGACATCTCTAAAAGATTTTGCCACCGGGATGGGTTCTTCGGTGATTTTCTGTAACGAGTAATTTTCGTGATTCTAAAGTACAGATTTTAAAAATTTGAAAACAGTTGAAATGTCATTCAGACTAGAAAAGAAATTTACCAAAACTGTGAAATTAAAATTTTTAAGTCTTTAATAACTCCAATTCTTCTGAGAATTGGAGATTTTAATTTAACCGCATGAATATTCAGCACCGAACTCTAGTATTGTCGCATTAGTCTGCATGGTGCGTAGCGTTTTTAAAAAGGGCTTAAAGGTGCTTATTTTCGTTATTTAAAAAGCCCTTAAACGTGCTTTTTTCATTGTGTGTTTTTAAAAAGTGCTTAATTTTCAAACAAGAGATTTTTTTTCGTTGCCATGCCGATTTTCGCCACGTATTATGCAAAAGCATGCTTTTCACATTGTTCTAATCAACTTTTTCACTATTCATTTCGGCGTACCGTCGGTCCATAGCGTATGAAAGCGCCAACCATTTTATATGTTTGATGAAATACTTGCGAGTTCGTATGTGCGTCTACTGAGCTGACTTCGGTGAGATTATTGCACTTTCATGTGCAGCTCTGCTGCATTTTGCAAGATATTCTCAATTTTAGACTTCATTTTTCACCCTCTGATATCGAACCGAAAAATCTCTATCATTTTAGAACTGCTAATATAATCAAGAAAAGAGTTCTTTGTTAAACTAATTGTTTTATTACGATCATCTAAAGTCTTTGAAAATTATTTTGCATTTTGTTAATGTATATAGTGCTTAAAATATTTTTTAAGTGCTTAAAAAGTACTTAAAAGGTGCTTATTTTTTGTTGAAAGATTTGACTACGCACCCTGGTTTAATATTATAGATTTATTAGTCATAAGTATAAAACGTTCATCAGTCAACTTAAATTATATTACACAAAAGTATAAAAACATATGCCATTGTATCTGCAGCAAATTTTATATTTTTAATGGCATTTCCTATTTTCTTGCAGGATCCAAGAATCTACCTTAAAATAGATGTTTGGTACTCCACTATCTGAAGTTTATGCTATATTAAGAAATCTATTCCTTGCAGGAGAATGTCGGCTATCATTATCAGATTTAGATGGGTAAGGAAGTTAAGATTTATTTTGATCGTATCAAGAAATTTTTTAATACATTTTATTTAACGCTAGAGAGACTGAAACTTAGTATATACCTAAATTGCCCTAAAGCAGTCAAAATGACTACATTGTGAAAGAATAACTAGTGTATAAAGAAATTTGTTTAAAATTTTCAATAATTTTATATTTGCAGTTATATAACAAGTGAGTTAGTGAATATTAACAACAACAAAAAATTACGTCTTATACAAAAAGTCACAAAATTCCAAGAAATTGTGTCATTATGTACATTGTTTTTCTAATTGAAATTAAAAAGCAGTCAAAATGACTTCCTTTGACAATCTAGTGTTAATGTATCTATTCTAGTTTAGCATTTTATCACATATTGAATCATATATTGTTTTATTCAATATATTATCATATATTGAATAAAACACTACACATTGAACTATTCCATAAATAAAAATAAATATTTAAGGTATTAGACTAAGTTAAAAAATAGGTTATTTCAACGAAAATTGTGATTTTTTTTTAAGCTCGTTTGAACGTTAATTCATTGGATTTTCAAAACCCTTTCAATTTTTGATCTCCGATTTTCAGAAATGATAGTAATTTTCCATGGTGATAAAGTACGGTCCTTTGCAATATCATTAAATTCACTATAAGATTCTACGTAAAATCATAATTATCTGGTGATACTGTACAATTTTATTGTTTTTAAGCGACTGAAACCGGTTTGCACTTGCTTACGTTNCGATTTTTAGAAATGATAGTAATTTTCCATACTGATAAATGAAAGTACGGTTCTTGGCAATATCATTAGATGCACTATAAGATTCAACGTAAAATCATAATTATCAAGTGATACTGTACAACTTTATTGTTTTTAAGCGACTGAAGCCGATTTGAATTTATTTACGTTCGTGTATTAATTGGTTAACATTGTAATGCAATACGTTAAAAACAAATGCAAACAGGAAGTAAATATAAAATCTCTTGAATTAAAACCCATTACACGTGTTTAAATATAAAAGTATTGCCTATAAACTCGTGCAAAACATGTCATTATTGAAACACTACAGTGGGTCTAATTATTATATTGTATTAATACAATACGTGATATAATGAATATTCTATATTTATGTCTCTTAATTTAATAAATTGTTGATTTTATGTTATCTCATTTAATCAATTGATACAAGAACGTAAACTAGTGCAAATCGGTTTTAGTCGCGTAAAAACAATAAATCTGTAATATTACCCGATAATTAGGATTTCACATAGAATCTAAAAAGTGCGTCTAATAATTTGGCAAGGGACTGAAGACACTTAAATGTTTAAGCTTTGAAAATTTAACCTTTTTTTATTTGAATAAATTAAGGTTAAGTTTTCATTTTATTAAATTTTATATAAACTTTATTTATTAAGAAAAGTCATTTTCTGAAATTTTCGCAATAATGTTTGTTCTCAGAATTTTGTTAAAATTTAAATGCATTTTCTGAACATAGATTTGGAGATTTTTACACCTGCACACATGACAATAGTTCACTTTAGACTTCCTTGAAATTTTGCATGCAGATTTTGTATAATGGAGCAAGTGTGAATTTAGCTTTAAGCATATTAAGTTTTTCTTTAAAAATTGAATATTACTTTAGTTTTTAATTCTTTTTGAAATTGTAAAATAGCTAAAGACTCGGGTAATAACATTAATCTAGATGTTTTTGTAATTTATGAAATAAAATTTACTGTATAGCTGTTTAGCGTGGTATGAAAAATGAGTAGTTTTAAACTCATTTGATTTAACAAATATTTTATACATTTTTAAACAGGGTATCTGCTACATTTTAGATTTTCAAATTAATGACTTTCCATGACTAATTCCAAGAATTTTTCAGGACTCAACGATGTTACTATTTTCTCCAACAAAAACACAGCAATAAATTTAAAAAAGCATTATAATAACATCAATGGAAATGATAGGTATATAATCAAAACTGTTATACTCTGCATCTTCATTAGATTTCAAATTTAAAAAAAGAGTACAAATTCAATTGTGAGTGACAAATTTTGTTAAGTACCGAAGTTCATGACTTCCAGGCAAGCAGATACCTTGTTTAAACTTTACGTTAAATTTAATTTTAAAGCCCTGCTTACAAAATTTAGCCTTAAAAATTGTGTGGATTTCCACGATCAGTCTGACGGCAAGGAGCTTCTAACTCTTGATCCGATAGAGGATATTTTACGTCAGTAGCGCGGTCGGTGCTAGCCAAGAGCAGAATTTGTATCTACCAGTTTATGCTTAGGTAGCATCATTGGGAGGCGAACGCTCGGGGGGCCCCCACTGCTTTTAATTGGTTTTAAAGTGTACAAAATTTTGTCTCACTGAAAAACTTAACTTGTTTGGACAAAACTTTATAACATTAGTATTGCGTCCTATGTAACTTTAGTCATATCTGAAGCTTATGTTTAATTTAGTTTCTTGGTTGGAGATGTTTAACTTCTGCTGATAAAATCTCCTACTGATCAGGAGGCTAATAAATTTAGTCATTTGGCACAAAGCTCTAAAATAAGAACTTTCACGAATATCAGACTGTAATGTTCCCTCGCGGTCTAAAGATAAATCTCTTAATTCCGTGGTTATTTAGAGTTTTGGATAATTGAAATTTCGACAACGCCATTAAGTTTTCGTTTGAACTTCGCCTGCATTAATATAGATTTCTGTATTACTCCAGCCTTTTGAAAAATGCGCACACAGCTCAGAGATCCTACCTGCAGGAATTAAATGTTCGGATTAATATGATCACCTTCATAAGATTTATGAATTTTGTAAAATGCAGACTCTGGATATGCATTTAAAGGGCCTACCTACAAAGGAGTTGACTGAGATATTTGCATAACTAATATTTATCAAAATTTTACTCTACTTTAATATCAAACACTGCCTCTGACTAGAGTGAAATTATGTTAATTTGACCATCAGAATAAAGATATTTTGTATTCTTTTTAACACTAGGCCTTGCATTGCTGATCTAATTGCCATGAGGATTGTAGTCTTCCAAGATCTCCATTACTGACCTAGTTACAATGAGGCGTGTTGTCTGCCGAGATCTCCATCACTGACCTAGTTACCATGAGGCGTGTTGTCTGCCGAGATCTCCATCACTGACCTAGTTACCATGAGGCGTGTTGTCTGCCGAGATCTCCATCACTGACCTAGTTACCATGAGGCGTGTTGTCTGCCGAGATCTCCATCACTGACCTAGTTACCATGAGGCGTGTTGTCTGCCGAGATCTCCATCACTGACCTAGTTACCATGAGGCGTGTTGTCTGCCGAGATCTCCATCACTGACCTAGTTACCATGAGGCGTGTTGTCTGCCGAGATCTCCATCACTGACCTAGTTACCATGAGGCGTGTTGTCTGCCGAGATCTCCATCACTGACCTAGTTACCATGAGGCGTGTTGTCTGCCGAGATCTCCATCACTGACCTAGTTACCATGAGGCGTGTTGTCTGCCGAGATCTCCATCACTGACCTAGTTACCATGAGGCGTGTTGTCTGCCGAGATCTCCATCACTGACCTAGTTACCATGAGGCGTGTTGTCTGCCGAGATCTCCATCACTGACCTAGTTACCATGAGGCGTGTTGTCTGCCGAGATCTCCATCACTGACCTAGTTACCATGAGGCGTGTTGTCTGCCGAGATCTCCATCACTGACCTAGTTACCATGAGGCGTGTTGTCTGCCGAGATCTCCATCACTGACCTAGTTACCATGAGGCGTGTTGTCTGCCGAGATCTCCATCACTGACCTAGTTACCATGAGGCGTGTTGTCTGCCGAGATCTCCATCACTGACCTAGTTACCATGAGGCGTGTTGTCTGCCGAGATCTCCATCACTGACCTAGTTACCATGAGGCGTGTTGTCTGCCGAGATCTCCATCACTGACCTAGTTACCATGAGGCGTGTTGTCTGCCGAGATCTCCATCACTGACCTAGTTACCATGAGGCGTGTTGTCTGCCGAGATCTCCATCACTGACCTAGTTACCATGAGGCGTGTTGTCTGCCGAGATCTCCATCACTGACCTAGTTACCATGAGGCGTGTTGTCTGCCGAGATCTCCATCACTGACCTAGTTACCATGAGGCGTGTTGTCTGCCGAGATCTCCATCACTGACCTAGTTACCATGAGGCGTGTTGTCTGCCGAGATCTCCATCACTGACCTAGTTACCATGAGGCGTGTTGTCTGCCGAGATCTCCATCACTGACCTAGTTACCATGAGGCGTGTTGTCTGCCGAGATCTCCATCACTGACCTAGTTACCATGAGGCGTGTTGTCTGCCGAGATCTCCATCACTGACCTAGTTACCATGAGGCGTGTTGTCTGCCGAGATCTCCATCACTGACCTAGTTACCATGAGGCGTGTTGTCTGCCGAGATCTCCATCACTGACCTAGTTACCATGAGGCGTGTTGTCTGCCGAGATCTCCATCACTGACCTAGTTACCATGAGGCGTGTTGTCTGCCGAGATCTCCATCACTGACCTAGTTACCATGAGGCGTGTTGTCTGCCGAGATCTCCATCACTGACCTAGTTACCATGAGGCGTGTTGTCTGCCGAGATCTCCATCACTGACCTAGTTACCATGAGGCGTGTTGTCTGCCGAGATCTCCATCACTGACCTAGTTACCATGAGGCGTGTTGTCTGCCGAGATCTCCATCACTGACCTAGTTACCATGAGGCGTGTTGTCTGCCGAGATCTCCATCACTGACCTAGTTACCATGAGGCGTGTTGTCTGCCGAGATCTCCATCACTGACCTAGTTACCATGAGGCGTGTTGTCTGCCGAGATCTCCATCACTGACCTAGTTACCATGAGGCGTGTTGTCTGCCGAGATCTCCATCACTGACCTAGTTACCATGAGGCGTGTTGTCTGCCGAGATCTCCATCACTGACCTAGTTACCATGAGGCGTGTTGTCTGCCGAGATCTCCATCACTGACCTAGTTACCATGAGGCGTGTTGTCTGCCGAGATCTCCATCACTGACCTAGTTACCATGAGGCGTGTTGTCTGCCGAGATCTCCATCACTGACCTAGTTACCATGAGGCGTGTTGTCTGCCGAGATCTCCATCACTGACCTAGTTACCATGAGGCGTGTTGTCTGCCGAGATCTCCATCACTGACCTAGTTACCATGAGGCGTGTTGTCTGCCGAGATCTCCATCACTGACCTAGTTACCATGAGGCGTGTTGTCTGCCGAGATCTCCATCACTGACCTAGTTACCATGAGGCGTGTTGTCTGCCGAGATCTCCATCACTGACCTAGTTACCATGAGGCGTGTTGTCTGCCGAGATCTCCATCACTGACCTAGTTACCATGAGGCGTGTTGTCTGCCGAGATCTCCATCACTGACCTAGTTACCATGAGGCGTGTTGTCTGCCGAGATCTCCATCACTGACCTAGTTACCATGAGGCGTGTTGTCTGCCGAGATCTCCATCACTGACCTAGTTACCATGAGGCGTGTTGTCTGCCGAGATCTCCATCACTGACCTAGTTACCATGAGGCGTGTTGTCTGCCGAGATCTCCATCACTGACCTAGTTACCATGAGGCGTGTTGTCTGCCGAGATCTCCATCACTGACCTAGTTACCATGAGGCGTGTTGTCTGCCGAGATCTCCATCACTGACCTAGTTACCATGAGGCGTGTTGTCTGCCGAGATCTCCATCACTGACCTAGTTACCATGAGGCGTGTTGTCTGCCGAGATCTCCATCACTGACCTAGTTACCATGAGGCGTGTTGTCTGCCGAGATCTCCATCACTGACCTAGTTACCATGAGGCGTGTTGTCTGCCGAGATCTCCATCACTGACCTAGTTACCATGAGGCGTGTTGTCTGCCGAGATCTCCATCACTGACCTAGTTACCATGAGGCGTGTTGTCTGCCGAGATCTCCATCACTGACCTAGTTACCATGAGGCGTGTTGTCTGCCGAGATCTCCATCACTGACCTAGTTACCATGAGGCGTGTTGTCTGCCGAGATCTCCATCACTGACCTAGTTACCATGAGGCGTGTTGTCTGCCGAGATCTCCATCACTGACCTAGTTACCATGAGGCGTGTTGTCTGCCGAGATCTCCATCACTGACCTANTAACTAGTTTCATTGTAAATTGTTTTCGACTAAGTATGAATCGATTAAGTTAACAATGTTTCACATATAGAGCCGTACATCCACAGCATTAATCTCTTTTCGACCCAGGTTTTATACATCCTGGAAAGTACTCAGCGAGCTTTAAAACTTGTACAGCTATTAAAAAGAATAACGCATAACAGCTGCTAGGCATTACGATATGAGGAACTTTATCTAACTCTGCTGGATCCTTAACTTGACGTAAAGCTAGTCTAAAACTAGAAAAGTGGATACTATAAAAATTATTTTTCAAAGCATAAATGGTAGAGCTTTAGTTGAAAAAGGTTCGTACACATATTAATCATTACAGAATATTCCATAATCTGATAAGTAACTGCTTTAATAATTTGATAGTTTCGAAAATAATGCATGAATTCAATCGCCCTTCAAGGTCTAAATCAAATTATAGAATTTACTTCAAAACTAAGATTAAATTTAAGTTTGATGACAAAACTGAAACGTGAATTTAATATTACATCGAAAGTCTCTAAATGTAATCGAAAATTTAAAACTATTTGAGTTGTGAATGTTCTAACTTAGTATTTATTACAACAAAATTTATTCGTCCTATTGAAATTAATTTAATACAATTTTAAAATATTTTAAGGAAAATTAAATCTTTTAACTTGCATATGTATCTAATAAAATGAAACGGGTATTTAGTATTTGTAATAGTTTACGTGTTATAAAAAAGTAGTTCAACGTATTCAAGTATAAATTAAATATTAAGAATTTAAGATTTTCAAATCTGATTTTGGTGCTACGTAAAGTAAATATAGATTTCCACTCAAATGAGTGTTTAAAGAGTTCTCGAACGCATATTTTTAAACTGAACTATTTCTTTTAAATATACCGATCCTGTGTAAAAGTGTTACAAATATAGGTTATTGGTCAGAGAAGGCAAAATTTCTGATAGAAAATTGAATCTACTATTTGAACAGAAGCCGAAACAATCCACGAGGTAAAGTATAAACATACTATCTTAATGTGTTCCGTTTTAAATCTAAAAGTAAATTTTTTTTTCTCGATTCTCATAGTATGTTGCGATTGCGTTTAATACTTAAGAATTAATGAAATAGATAATAATAAGCTTGTTTCACTATTAAAACTTGTATGCTGAAATATTATATGAAAAGTAGATTTGCAAATTCCGAGAAATGTTTTTTTTTTTTTTAATCTTCAAATTCATTGATTTGAGTTCTATCCTAAGCGGATCAGTGTTAAAACGGGCGAGAAATCTTCTATGCAAATATAAATTCAATATAATGTTATAGATAACTCGAAATCGGGGTCATATAATACTGATTTTGGAATCTCTAACAGTTTTGAGCTGGATTAAGTTAAATTGCCTATGAAGTAAATTGTGAGATACTACATCGAAATTGCAACTGTATCATTTTATAGTTGTCGAGAACCAAATTTAAACCTGATAGCACGTATATATTAATATTTCGATTGAAAGATGAAAAACAGTCAGTACTAGAGCGTTTATAGTCGATGATTTAGCAGATCTACACAATTTGGGGATATCTATCTACAGCATAAGTGTGCAAGTGTGAATCGGAAGTTTCGGTATGTTCTAGACTAGAACCCTCTGAATTAGACAGGCCGATTTATCATTTATTTTTGGAGCAAAGAGCTAACATAAGCACGTAACATAACTAATACTAACATAACGTTAACTTGCTAACTTGTTTGCTCCAATATTGCTTGATAGGTCAGCTCTGATAGTATAGGAGCCTTATTCTAGACTAGTGAGAAATATGACGTGGAAGTGGTAGACGGCCGCTCTGCTTCCTCGTCATGTTTCACACTCGTCCAGCCGTTTCAGAACTTCTCGATTCACACATATGCGC